TCTCTTCTGCTCTGGCCTTGGTTCTTCCTGCACCCACCTGGGACTGGGTCTTCACTTAAGTGTCTCTGCATGTTGAGGAGAGGAGTCTGGAGGGTCATTGTCAATCCATCAACGCCCCCTTCCTGTGTTGAGATGATTTCAGCCCTACCTTGGGAGGGCTATAAAAATTGTTTCTAAGAATGATGTAATCTGTGTAAAGATAACAAAGTAAATAATTAAACTAATTGTGGTGGAACAGGTCAGACGGGCTCCTGAGAGACAGTCATACACATCTCTTCCAACTCCACATTCAGTGATGTTATGTTGGTACCCTGAAGTTGACTGGGTCACCACTTATACCATAGAAATTGGCAAATGGTACAAACCAGGTCCCCACGCACCCCCACATAGAACCAGTGCACCAGTACACCTCTGCTAGTACTTGTGTGTGCATGTGCTACTGAATGTAATCACCCTGACAGCAGGGACATTGCTTCCATTGCCCACCATCATAGCCCAAGCATGGAGCAGACTAACATTGAGTAGGAACTCAGTGCATGTTTGTTGAATGAAGGCATGGAAGAACCCACAACATGTCCATTATGAAGCAAATAAGGGCACTAGCTCAAATGCTAAAAGTAAGTTAGAAGTTAAGATAGTGCCCAGAAAGGAAATTATCTGTAATTCTAAATAAAAATCATCTGCCAAGGCAGAGACGTTGCCTGTAGAGGCCCATGGAAAGATGTGGGAGCCTTGGGTCCTGGCCCCCTGGACAGATGAAGGGAGCTTGGATACTGCTCTGGGCGAGAGTCTGACAGCTGGACTTCTGGAAATGTCAGCATCTTCCCAGCTGAGAGGAAACTCATTTGCAGACCACACCAAATTTGAATTTTCAGAAGGAACTTCTTGGAGTCTACTCTTGTGCCAATGAGCCCCAGAAAGCCTAGTAACTTTGGGTGGGTGGGCTATGCCAAGTGGGGAAAAAGCTGAGGAAAACCCTTTGCCTCTTGCTCTCTTTATTTTTTCCTCAGGGGAGCAGAAGTGGTGGTGGAGTTTGGCTTGGGCACAGGGAGGGATACATGACACTTAAGAGATGCCATAAGCTACCCTGTTTTGTTTCTGATTGCTGAGTAGTTCTGAGCCAAAACAGCCAGTTAAGAAATTAAAAACCTTAATTATGGATTTGGAAATTCCAGCACAACACAACTAGATGGTTTTTACCCAGTCAGTATACCGCTTAGACCTTACCCTCTGCTTTGGCCTTGAAAATCCCTCTCCTTGGTGCTGAAGTAATTTCTTGAGCCAGGAGCCCCTGGTGACATAACACCTTCCCCTGCTGGATGCTGATGTCACCTTTGATAAGCCTGAGCATGTAACTCTCCTAGGACATTCATGGCTGGTCTTCTCCCTTCCCCTGGTGTCCACCCTCCCCCGCCCACCTCCCTCCATCCAGCTGTGTCAGTTCCTCCGTCCTTGACCTGTCTATTTCCAGCTTCCTCTAGTTCCTCTCTGGACTTCTGCCAATTTCCTTCCACAGTTTATGGCCAAGCCTGTTGGAGTTAAAACAATCTGTATTGTTTAGAAAGGCAATACTTTCTCACAAAAGGGTTTGCCTTAAAATAAGATCTGGGAATCCCCAGGGCTGGTGTTTGGCAGGGAGGAGTGTGGGTAGGTGCATGATGCTATGAAATTCAGACCAGTTTACAGAAAAGGCATCTTGGGGGAGGCAGTGACAAGAGGACTGGAGGATGAGCTCTTCTGGGAGGTGGTCAGTGTCTGGGGCTTATTTCAGGCTGAGGCCTCTCACAGGATGCCAGAGAAACAGACTCTTCCACCCCAATCTGGGGTCTGGGACTCACTGTGTGAGGGTGGCCTTATGGCATTAGTGCTCCCCATGTGGTCTCTCAGTCCTTCTATGTGCATGTTCCTGCTCAGAGAAGGGACCTCCTAAAGCCACAGGCCCAGGTGAAGGATCCCATGTTCCAAGGGAAAGACCTGAGTCTGGTTTTCTGGGGCAATCTTTAGAAGGTCTGGAATGGACTTAGAGTGATGTATGCCTATAAACCCAGCATTTTGGGAGGCTGAGGTGGGAGGATTGCTTGAGCCCAGGAGTTTGAGACCAACCTGGGCAACATAGCAAAACCTCATCCCCACAAAAAATTAGCCGGGCATGGTGGCATGTGCCTGTAGTCCCAGCTACTTGGGATTCTGAGGTGGAAGGATCACCTGAGTCCAGGAGGTCAAGGATATCGTGAACTGTGATTGTCATGATCATGCCACTTCACTCTAGTCTGGGTAACAGAGTGAGACCCAACTCAAAAAAAAAAAAAAAAAAAAGAAAAGAAAAGATATCGCAAAAACATAGTACCTTAATATTTTTTGCAGGGAATGCCTGATTTATTCCCCATAGTATGAGATCATGTATTTCCAGTGGCATGAATGTTTGGTTCCTTTTCTTCCCACCCGGGAAGCTGGGTTAGTACTCTGTGCTGCTGGCAGAAATGGAAATGAGAATTGTTTCACCTGTGTGAGAACATACCCTGATCATGTCTAGTGAAAACAGACATTATATACAAGCTTTGTTCCAGGAATTCTGCATGTGTGTGAATCTCTTCCACAGAAACACAAGCATAAGCACCAGCATGCAATGTTGTACACAAGAGTGTTTATTGTTTGCAGGGGCAAAAAACTGAAAACGATCTGAAGGTCCATCAACAAGGAATGATTAAATCAATCGTCATACATCTGTACTACGGAATATTCCGCAACCATCTAAAAGGATGAGTTAGTTAACTGGCTAGCTGTTGATCCAGAGAGCTTCATGAAGCAGTGTTGTTAGGGAGGCATATTGTAGAGGAATAAATATAACATATGCAATGACAGTATTTTTAAAAGGCATAATCAAGCAAAAATCCCTACCTTACATATCTGAGCACAGTGAAGGTGTGGAGGCTATAACCCAGGCTGATGGAGGGGGTAGGATGAGGGAAAAATGGGGGAGGTAAGAAAACAAAAAGCATAGGAAAATGAGGAGGGGGCATTGAATGAAGTTCCATGAAAATACAGAATTGAAGGCTCATCTGTTTTATTATTGCAAACATGTATATATGTATATGGAAATGGATAAGGGTTAGGGGGTTATGGGGGGGGATGAAAACACTGACTTAATCAGATACTGGAATTGTAGCCATTTTTTGTTTCGAATTTCTGTTGTCATCTTAATGTTGGTTTTACAATAAACTGATAGAAACGGTTGAACTGATAGAAAGAAAGCGATGGTGGGTGAAATTATTCACATTGTAAAATGACTGTATCAGGAATAATCTGGAAGGCCCTCAACGTTTTACACAGAATGAGCATCCCATAACACTGGCTGAAGTGATACATCAGACTCACAAAGCCTTTACTCCACTCCAGGATTCGTAAGCATGAGCAAGGATATTCAAGCACAGACAGTTTCAATTAATTTGAATTACCGTGTACAAGTTCACTTAGCACCCAGCTGAAATCTGGTTTCTGGAACTATTAACAAAATGAGAAAAGGCAGTAATTATAGAAAATGAATTACACCATGGCCTAAGTGTTTCCACATCAGGAATGAAGCAATTCTGCTGGTGTGGCTGTGCCTGCCCTTGTTATTAAGGTTAGGAGAGACAGGAATTGAAATGTCAACACCAGCCTCCATCTAGTTTCTCTTTCTTTATTGTCATTGTTATTATTAAAACAAAACAAACAAACTGGAAGGCAAGAAATCACCTTCACATGTTCTGTACCTTTTTTTTTTTTTTTTTTTGCTCTCTGATCTAGAATGAACAGGACTTATGGAAGCAGCCAGTGAGTGTAGCAAGAACCACTGCCTGGCCACCAGGTGGGGCCGTGTGTCCGTGGAAGGCTGCTGCCCTGGGCTCTCCCACCCCCAAGTCCTCCGCATGCTTCCAAGGTTAAACTCTTCCAAATGCGACCTTGAGAAGAACACTGACAGCAGTAGGGACTCAGCACAAGAAATGCCTTTATCAACATTCATGTACTGAAATAGTTTGGAGAAATTGTCTGATAATACACATTTTTCATTCTTACAAACTCTCTTAAAAGTAGAATTGATAATATTCAGCAGTTGTCTTCTCCAAACATGGTTCAACAACTCTTGAGGGTCTGTGAGGGTATCTAGAGGACCTATGGGGGCATCCGAGCATTAGAGTCATTACTTCTCATTTAAATTATATTCATATTTTGTTATATTTTTAAACGAATAAGATAGTGTATCAATTCTTGCTTATGGCACAAATTGAGTTTTTAATTGGGTCTCCTCAGAGACATGGCTTCTTTTTAATCTTGTTGGCAAGTAATTATATTTTTGTAGTGATAAGCGGTTTACAGAAATGATGGTCCCTCACCAAAGTGGTGTTCACCCGGACACCGTGCACATCTGGAGTGCTGACATAAAGGGCATATATTGAAAGATGCTCGTATGGGTGCACACAAAACATGCACATAGGATTGGGGAAGATTAGATAAAAGTATGCATTGTCATTTTTTAAATGCATGGAATATTTCAAGAATGGGAACAGCATACACCCTTCTTGTTTTAAAAAAAGTGCCACTCCTCCCGTCTTGCTGCGTATTTGGTTTGTTCTTAGAATCAGCTTGACAACATTTCCCTACAATATGACTTCTCGGCCCCTTCCCAGTCTTATTTCTATTATAGTTTCATTAGATGGACTAAAATAGCCTCTGTGAAAGTACGAAAGCACACAGCCATTGGCTCAAGTCTTTCCATTTATTTCTAAATATGGCACTTCCACAATTTCACTGGAGATGCACGTTTGGATGTGGGTCCTTGAGAGCCGCAGAGTGATCATGAGACCGCTCTGGGGCTGGACAGAGCAGAAAGCCTGGACGTAGAGGAGACAGGGTTAAATCCCGGCTCTGCCACTCTCCAGCCGTGTGGCGCTGGGTAGGCTACTACTTCACCTCTCTGAGCCCCGGTTTCCTCCTCTGCAAAACGGGGATAACGCCTGCGTCTAAGAGTCGTGGGAAAGGGCTGAGGGCGCCGGGCACAGTCCCTTTTCTCCATGCCGCCAGCCTTTATGACCTAACGTGGCGTGCCGGGGCTCCTCCGGGGGCCTAGCGTGGCGACGAAGAAGGCGCAGCCCGGCCCT